GAATGGAGCTAAAATCTTCAGCTAATAAGGGGGACGGACCAGGCTGTCTAAACAAAACTGCTACAAGAAGAGCAGATTGAAGATATGAGATTTTTCTTGAACAAACACGTAGTACTTACTATGTGCCAGGCAGTTCTAAGCAGTTTATAAACAGTGATTTAATCCTCTGAACAAACCTATAAGATGGGCACCATGTATTGATTTTAATTTTATTGTGCTTTAGGTGAAAGTTTACAGCTCAAGTTAATTTCTCATTCAAAAATTTATACACATTGTTTTGTGACATTAGCTGCAATCCCCACAATGTGACAGCATGCTCCCCCTTTCCACCCCAAGTTCTGTGTCCATTCATCCAGTTCCTGTCCCTTCCTGCCTTCTCGTCTTGCTTTTGGGTAGGAGTTGCCCATTTGGTCTCGTATATTTGATTGAACCAAGAAGCACGTTCCTCATGTATGTTATTGTTTTATAGGCCTCTCTAATCTTTGTCTGAAAAGTGGGCTGTAGGAATGATTTCAGTTCTGAGTAGCAGAGTGTCCAGGGGCCATATTCTCAGGGCTTCCTCCAGTTTCTGTCAGACCAGTAAGTCTGGTCTGTTTTTTTGTGGATTTGAATTCTGTTCTACATTTGTCTCCTGTTCTGTCCAGGACTCTGCTGTGATCCCTGTCAGAGCAATCAGTGGTGGTAGCCAGGCACCATATAGTTCTTCTGGGCTCAGGCTGGTGGAGGCTCTGGTTCATATGGTTCTTTAGGCCTTGGGGCTAATATTTTGTGTCTTTGGTTTTCATTCTTCTTTGCTTTAACCACCCCCACCCCCACCTTTTACAGATAATGAAACTGAAGCAAAAGAGGATAAACAACTTGCACAAGGTCCCATCGCTAGTGAGTGGTAGTGCTAGGATTTGAACTCAGGTAGCCTGGCCATATTCTTAACCTCCATAGTGTGATGCCTATTCATTCCAAGTACCAGGAGGGGTGGGTGGGAGGGAGGAGTTTAATGGAGAATGATCTAGAAGCAGCAATGAGAAGCAAGAAGGGCACCTACCCCACCTCAAAGAACAGAAAGAAGCCATGCTTAAAAGGATTGCAGAGGAAGCCACACCCTTAGGGGGAAACAAGAGTTGAAACTGGGAAGTCTGTTTTAATTTGCAAAGGATAATTTTGTTTCATTGCCTATACTCACTTGTATTGCCTTTTTTATCATTCCTTGTTGCAATGGCTAGAGCGTTCAGAAATATGTTGAAAGTGGGTATCTTGGTTTTAATAGTCTTTTGCTATTAAGATAACTGTTGGTTTTCTTTTGACGTGGTGGTAAATAACATTAAGAAAACATTCTATTTGCGAAATTATGAGTTTTCTAAAGCTAGATGTTGAATTTTATCAAATGTCTTTATCTGTCAGATTTTTTCCTCTTTGGTTTTATTATGGTGATTTAGGAACAGATTTATCATACTTTGAAATATGCTTGCATTCTTGGGATAAAAACATCTTGGTTATTGTATATTCTTATTTTAATATATGACTAGAATTGATCTGCTCTTACTTCATTTAGGAATCCCTGGATCTGTAGTCCAAATGAGACTAGCCTGTTTTTCCTCGTGGTACCTTTGTCAGGAGTAGGCTAGTTTGGTATATGTGGGTACTTTTCATGTTTCAAAGCTAATTTAGATGACCGAATACTGTCATGAGAAGGAACCTTGGAGTGGACAGGAACCAGGGTGGCTGGGTGGTGGCCATGCTGCTTGACCCTTTCATCCAGGGCTTGGGTGAGGGTCTAGACCTCAACCAGGGTTCTTATCTGAGCAACAGAACATAGAAAATGATTTGAGTAACTTTTTCTTAATTCTCCCAAGCACCGTACAGAACTAGCATCATTTATATGCATAGAAATTGATTACATGCAAACGATACTGTATTCCTATTGCTATTCCTATTCCTGCTGTAACAAATTACCACAAATTTAGTGGCTTATTTAGTGGCTTAAAATAACACAAGTTTATTCTCTTATAGTGTTCTGGAGTCAGAAGTCTGAAATCAGTCTCATTGGACTAAACTTAAGGTGTCAGTAGGGTTGGTTCCTTCTGGAAGCTGTGGAGGAGGAATCCATTTCCTTTCCTTGTGGTCCCCTGTATTCCTTGGCTTATGGCCCCTTCTTCCTTCAAAGCCATCAGTCCAATCCCTGCTTCTGTCAACACATCACCTTCTCTTCTCTTTCCGCTTCCCTCTTTTAAGAATACTCTTGATTGCATTTAGGGCCCACTAGGATAATCCAGTTTAAGCTTCTCGTCTCAAAATCATTAACTTAATCTGCAAATTCTTTTTGCCATTTAAGTTGACATTCACAGATCCAGTGATTAGGACCTGGATTTCGCTGGGGGCCATTATTCTGCCTACCACAGAAAACTTAGGACCTCAGGGCTTAATTCTTTTCTAGACCCTGGTCGAGAAATGCTGTCTGGATGTATAGTTGGCACAAACCGATTGTGCCACTCAGCTAAATTAAGACCCAATAGGGTTCTAACAGACTCAGAGTAACAAAACTCCAAAAAGTGTAGTTCAAAAGTACACGACTTACAGCATCCAGTGTGGAATGCTTGTGAAGGGCTTCAAGATGTCAGCTGGCATTTCTAGGAAAAAATGTGTTGGGCTTTTATGAGAAATGGCATCTGGAGTGGAAACGAGAGACCTGCTCTTCCAGGTCGTGACTTTGTGAGCAAGCCTTGCTTACCACACTGGAATGCACACTTTGAGAGCAATCAGGATTGATGGTGATGCCAAGAGGATCCACAGGACAGAGGAGAGTTACACTTCTTCATATTGACAGGTCAGGCCTCACATGAAGGAAGACATTGCTCTTGGTCAGAGCTTTCCAAAGGTGGATGTGCACATTGGGGAATTTCCTCTCTCTAGACACCCCTAGGTCTGGATGACTATCCTGGGGTCCTGTGTGGGGAAGGGAGGTGGTGGGTAGTCAATCAGATGATTATTTAAGGTTCCTGTCAAACCCTGAGACCTTATTCAACTACTTTTAGTTGGGGAAACCAAGTACGGTATAATGGATTGCTTCTGAGTGGCCTTTCTAGCCATGTCTTGTAACTCTCACCCAAGTAATTGGGTGGGACTGCGCAAATAGGGGAATTGTGGCCTAAGAAGGGGATCAGTCAGTTTTGCCTTAGAGCCAATTCCAGAGCAGAGAAAGGATCCTACCACCACCCAGGAAGAACAGCCAGGAGCAGAGAACCTGTCTTTTGGACCCGGGATCCCTGCACTGAGAAGCTCCTGGAACCAGGAGACAGAGAGCTCAGAAAGTGGTTGGCAGAAAAACGACGGCAGGAGACACCGTGGTGGGCTTCCCAGCCCACAGAGTGAGAAAGCTGACTGCCTTTGGGCAGGAGGCCTGCTGGCAGAGTAGAGTGCCTCTAGGCACTTACTGGCAGAGCTAAAAGAGCTTTGTAACACTTGCCCAAATAGGGCAGAAGCTGAGGGCCAGAGAGGTGTGCCTGCAAGCACAGCTGACAGGCTGTCTTGATGGAAGAACTGTATTCTGAATGTTCCTGAACCTGAACTATAACCTGTTACTTCCCTAATAAACCCTATAATCATGAGTATTGTGAGTTGTGTGTGGCCACTGCAATGCATTATAGAACCCAGTAGAGTACAGAGGGCCGTGGGAGGGACAGCTGGTGTCAGAATTGGTAAAGATGGGAGAGAGAGGAGGCATGGCTGACCCCCACCTCACAGGAATCAGCCTTGGGCTGTTGATCTTGATTCTCCTTCCCACTGGTGAAGTTAGAAGAGGTCAGACATTGCCCTCATGCCATTTTTACATTAAAGCACAGACAGGGTGGTCACTTGTACAGATTTACAAAGTTAAGAGCACAGCCAAATATTAGTATCTCATCATTTCTGATCATCTTCAGATATGAGTACTCATTGATAACTCTTTTGAAGCACATCCAAGGAAATAAATTCAGAGGTAACATTTAACACTGATTTTTATACCAAAACCATAACTGTCAAGGCAGAGAGACTCTCCTCTTCAACAGTGGTTTGAGAAATGAAAGGTAATTAGCTGGGTTCAGTTGTGCTGCTGTTGAGGCCCCCAGGCCGTCCATTGGCTGCTGGGTGGGGGATGAAGCTCAGAAAGTCAGAAATAGGGAATCAGCCCAAATTTCATGTGAAGCAACTTCCATGACTTTGGAACCTCTCAAAAATTCAAAATCTTGATACAAAGCTCTCTTATTATTGTACTTTAGATGAAGGTTTACAGAACTCGCTTCTCATTAAACAATTACTATATGTATTGTTTCGTGACACTGGTTACCAATCCCATGACATGTTAACATTCTCCCTTCTTGACCTTGGGTTCCCAATCACCAGCTTTCCTGTCCCTTCCCTGCCTTCTAGTCCTTGTCCCTGGGCTGGTATGCCCCTTTAGTCTCGTTTTATAGGCCTGTCTAATCTTTGGCTGAAGGGGTGAGCTTCAGGAGTGACTTCATTACTGAGCTAAAAAGGTGGCCGGGGGCCATACTCTTGGGGTTTCTCCAGTCTGTCAGGCCAGTAAGTATGGTCTTTTTTTGTGAGTTAGAATTTTGTTCTACATTTTCTCCAGCTCTGTCTGGGACCCTTTATTGTGATCCCTGTCAGAGCAGTCAGTGGTGGTAGCCAGGCACCACCTAGCTGTACTGGACTCAGTCTGGTGGAGGCTGTGGCAGTTGTGGTCCATTAGTCCTTTGGACTAATCTTTCCCTTGTGTCTTTAGTTTTCTTCATTCTCCCTTGCTCCCGATGGGGTGAGACCAGTGGAGTATCTTTGATGGCTGCTCACAAGCTTTTAAGCCCCCAGACGCTACTCACCAAAGTGGAATGTAGAACATGTGCTTTTAAACTGTTATGTCAGTTGAGCTAGATGTCCCCAGAGACCATGGTCCCCACAGCCCTCTGCCCAGTAATTCAGTCCCTCAGGGAGTTTGGATGTGTCTATGGAGCTTCCTGATACAAAACTCCCTTTTAAGAATACATTTTAATTTTGACTCAGTTGATACCAGAAATAAGCAGTTGCCTGAGGATCTGTGTTTCTATGGCATTTAAATTTTGAATATTTTTAATGAACATAAGATCCCAAGGAGCTAACACTGCATTTCACAATCTCTGAGCACTGATCCATGTTCTTCTTAATCCTGTAGAATTTCTCCATATATTCAGAACGCCCTAAAAGCTCCACAAAATCTTCATCATGGGTGATTACGAGAAGCTGGAAATTTCGCTGCTGTGAGCGGCTTTTTATTATCCTGAAACAATACAATTAGAACATTTTATTAACAAGGAGCATAGCCCTTTCTTTCATTTGAAAAAGCCCCCGAGAACCCTGTCAGACACATGAGCACATGCTGCGTGTGACAACCAAGCTTTTCCTGTGCCTTGTGACTGTCAGGGCCTCTGGCTGCCTTGCAGGAAGTGGGAGGAGGGGATGGGCCCAGGTCTTCAGCCCAGCCAGGCAGGAGTCCCAACATCTCTCCAGACGCTGGGGTTGAATGGCCTGGCTGCTCACCTAGGTCTGGCTTTGGGACTGGTAAGAATACCTGATCTAGTCTCTTCCAGATCACAAAGTTCTTACTAAAGCAGGTGAAAATGTTTTATTGAACTTTTCCTTAATACCTAACTGCTCAACAGGTATGAAGTCTCTAAAGACAGACTCCAGCCAAGGGGAAATAACATATACAAGCCCCACTGCCTTCTCAGGAGCTGGGTCTACTTAGAATTCTATTACCACCAGTCACTAGATGCATCACTACTATGAAATACAGGGACCTGAGTGGGTGGATAGGGAAAATTTTTGCTCATTATCTATAGGCTGAGGTAGCCAGCTATGAGACAGAGTCCTGAAAGACTTATACCTTTAATAAGCCACTTATTTATCTTTTGCCTGGAGCTGGATGCACCTGAGGTTTCAAAAACACTAACCCTTACTTGCTGGTCACACAAGACTCCCCAGAGATGGCTGGGGAAATGTGGCTCTGTGGCTGCTCATTTCTCCTTCTAGCCCAAACCCTCCTATCAGACAGGAAACATTATCACTGCCAGAAAGAGTCTATCTGAAGCCAGGAGTCTCTAAAATACCTTCTCTACCTCTGGGAAAGGGCCTTTTCTCTGGCAGCACAATCCTTAAGCAAGGGCCGCCCATTCCTGGACTCTGTACCCACCACAGGGGAATGTGGTAAAGGGTGTGTGCAATTTTACCCTCACTGTATTCTCTTAATCACTAATATGCTTTCTGAATAAGAGCTCTGTTATTCTCGATAGTTGCTGTTTGACACATGAGAAAAGCTGGAGAGACCAGACAGTCCTAAACCCACTGCCACCTACCGATGTCTTAGCAGGCATACTAACTCCTGTACATGGTATGTGGGGCCCTACGTATGTGAGTTTACAGGAAAACCAAACCAAGCCAAGAACCTTCACCATGACCTTGCCTATGAACACACTTGGGGAGATGTGGGATGTGTCTGGGGCTGCTGTTCACTGTCTAGTTGCTTTTCAAGGACTCTGAAGAATTACTATCAAAGGTAAAGCTTATAGCCTGGCATCAACCAGCTTCCTTAAGTAGGACTCATCTAGAGATGATTTTCAACACAGAACCCTCTTGATCTTACTTAAAGAACTATCATAAGTTGCCTCCAACTTTGAGATACTCACTCAACCAGAGCGTGCGCAAGAGATTCGATGTTTTCTCGGTCAAGATTTGTGGTTGGTTCATCCAAGGCAAGGATGCCACAGTTCAAGCAGAATGTTTCAGCCAGGGCCAGGCGAATGATGAGTGAGGCTAAGACCTGGAAAAAAAGCACTAAAGCTGAGCTGCACTGCAGATCTTCTTCACATCCCACTTCGAGGAAGGTGAGCAGACCTGGCATAATCTCCTTAGAAGGGAAAGGTGGGAAGTGTCATAGGGTCACTGACTTTAGGTAAAATCTCTTCTGTCTGGGGCAGCCTGGCACTGTGACTAGACTCTTATACCCCTCCAGAAGGTGAAACATCAGCTACTGTCTCAGCTTGTCACTTGCAATTAAAAAAAAAAATGCTAAAAGCAGTGCTGATTCCACAAGAAAAATGTCACATCAGCTATAATAAAGCTTGAAATCACAGCCTTCAAACAGAAATGCATTACTATTTATCTGGAACTAAAACTCTAATACAGGTATACGATTAACAACTTTTAAAAATTCTTGACCTGGCTATTTTCCTGATAATGAAATTTGTTAAAAAACTTGGAAATATTACATTTTCCAGAGCCTTGCAGAGACTTTTTCTCTCCTTGAGTCATCTTTAAAATTACTATATTCTGTGGTCTAAAAGAGGTACCAGGTATTATGCACTAACCCACATTTACATGTTTGTGTGTAATTTTGGGAAAAAAGAGAGAGCGAAAGGAATAATCATGGGTCAAAGTACTGGGAATAGAAGGGTGATTTTATTTAAGCTTATCTGTAGGAAATCCAAGCAATTGAAACTATTAGACACTTTCATGATTAATAAAAATCTAATACTTAAACTCTAAAACCCAGCTTAAGCCACTTGTGGGTGCAATCGACACAGAATTAAGAGTGTATAACTATTCTGGTGGAGTACAAACTTCTAATGTGTGAGCTGTAAACCTCCTCCCACCCTTGAATTTGTGAGAATATCAATGAGTGAGCTGGCAAGTTTTGACATACAGGGCAGGCCAGCACACTGCAGAAGCAGGACCACAGCTTGGCTCTTTGGGGAATAGGCATGTCCTTCCTTTCTTTGAATCCCACCGCTGCCACCCTCCTGCTCCACCTCCTCCTCTTACACGCAGAGTCACTGGTTGGCTTCTAGGGCCTCAGCAAAAGCCACCGTTAGGCAGAGTGGAGTCTGATTTCAGCTCCTGGCCTAACTCCACCAAACTACTTGTCTGTCCTGTCCCCCTACACCAAGGGAGCAATTACTTTTAATTTTTACAACTTAGAGTAGCTAAAGGAAATCTGCTTTTGCTCAAAAAGTGTTTTTTAATCCAAAAAATCATGTTTCAAACTCTGTATTTTCTCAAAGTTACTACTAAAAATCACCAAAGCAAGTAAGGGGAAATTATAGATCATAAAGTCGTTATTTTTGCAGACTAGAGTTAAGATAATAATCTGCAGATGCCTTAAATTGGTATCAGCTGTCTGGGCTGACAATATAATACACACATACACAAATGTTCTTTAAGTAAAAATTGAAAACTATGCAAATAACTCAGGTAATGTGGGCATCCACTTCTAGAATTTTAAAATTTTGTTAAGAAAATCAGAGATCCAGAGGTGTTAGTATATCAAGTGCAATCTTCTGCTTCTAATATGAAAGGAGAAAGCTCAAGAAATTTGTGGCATCTTGGGTGAAAGAACCCAGCCTTGTTCCTAGGGATGCAGGTCCTTTTTTCCTGACTCATTAAAACTTCACTCATTTTCCTGATTTTGCTCCCTGTTCCATATCTAATCTAGCTGTCCTCCTAGCTCCTCAGTTGGCCTGACCCAGCAGCTGAGTCTGTGTGTGGTAGGGGAGAGGCGAGGCACCTGTAGGATCAAGGCCTTTGGCTGTAGCAGACCCTTCTTTCAGGTTAGCCTGGGGGTGGGGGTAGCGGTGAGGGAGGGCGCAGTCCTAAAACAGGGCAGCTTTCTCAACAGGCCCTCTTACGTATTGTACTGTCTCAACCTAGGATCCTGGTTTGCTAATACTGTATATTGTTGATTCTAAAACAACCCCCTCCACACGCACACATACTTTTTGACCCCTCTGGAATCAGGATGGATTTTATAATTACAACCGCCAGCATTTTTCTTCTCTTGGTACCACGTAAAATAGTGGTGTGTCTTATAACTGATGATACAGTACTAATTCTGATAAGGAGTGCTGTGAAACAATGAAGGATCTTCAGATCCTTTTTCACATTTAGCTTATCCTGTGAGATTGTTTCAGGCCCTTCTCCTAAAAGCCTACTTTATGCGGTGTAGCAGGAAATGATGGTTGGCACTGGGAGAGTGTAATGGTAGTGGCTGAGCCTGATTCACTTCACATGGCAGCAAGGTGTGCTGTAAGGAGCGTCTCACTATTAATGGGCAGCCTTGGGTGCTCCCACTACATTGACATTTGCTTCTTTCTTGAATTCTTGGTGTAAAGTTGGCTGCCTAAGCCCTTGAGATACCTGCCTTTTGTCCAGCACTGCATCGTCCTCGCATATCCAAGGCTGTGTCTCCCTTTAGCATCACCACTCGGTAGTTGTAATTCCGCCTTTTATCAGAAGCGGATACATTTTCATCAGCATCAGACCGAATTTCTATGTATTCAATATCTGACACAGAAAGAAAAAGATTTCAGAGGCACCTACACTCTGTAAACTTTTGTCATTTAAAAACATTATCAAGTATGTAAGCGTAGGAACAACTTGTAAGGCTGACATTACCAGGGGAAGTACTGGCTGGTTTGGGAACTACTTCTTTGACTGGGAGGATTGAGGAGCCTGGTCTGATACCCAGTTCAGATGCCCAACCCTTAGCCTCAGCTCTGCCTTTCTTAGTTTCCTATTAAGAGTTTCCTCCTGATGGTTTTCTTCTTATCGTATTTCAGCTTATCCCTATCTATACTTCAACAGAATCTATTATGTCATCGGCTAAATATAATGTGCACCACAGCCAAATATGCAAGTCCTGTCAGGCTGTGGAATAGAAATTTTGCATTTTCTTCTTGCTACAAGATGTTGTCAAGATAAGAATTCTTAGAAATCTTAAAGAGATGCTCAGAAAGGGATCCAGGGAGATAATACTGGTATGATGAGAAGTCATATGGGGCAAGGCTGGGGAAAGAGCTTTGGAAAGAAAATTCGTGATACACCATGTTAGTTACCTTGTCCACGATAAGTATTTCGCCAAAGTTCACGAATAATTTTATTGATTTCTTCCATTTTCATACTGTGAAATTTCATTATTGCTCTAGAAAAAGAAGCCACTGGTGTTTTAAAGGAAAACTACTATCATAATAATATAACAGTATTATACAGTAATATGTATATATAACATAATAATTTAAACATCATCATAATATCATGAAATAACTTCCCCAGTGTTTTCAAGGATAAAAGTAGAATAGAGTAAGGTAGAAAAATAAAGAGAACCAAAACCTTGCTGCTTAGCTAGTACTGGAAACTGCCAGGCATATTTCCAGTGCCCTAGGGTCCTTCACCCTTTTCCATTTTCATTCTCTATGACATAATAAACACTCCCTTAAGTAAATACATAAATACTGTGAACATTTCAGAAAATCTAACTTTTTAGTAGACTTTTTCTCAGGCCATGATAACTTAGTGGCGGGACGGTTTCCATTGATGCCCACCTGTTACAGGTACACCTGCTGACTGGGTGACAGTAACTGTGTGTGGGCTACAGTCAGCAAAAGGCCCTGAGTGTGTGGGGAAATAGGGAACTCTCTGGAACTGTTGCTTTTCCCTCCTTCTAATGTTATAAAGATTACCAGAGTCAGCCTCTTATGCTGCTTTTGTTCCTCGGATCTCTGAGCTTTTTACCAACCAGAAATTTTGGTTCTAAGAGGGCGATTTCAAGGCTTAGGCTGAGCTGAACCTCAAAATTTTCTTTTGCCTTCCTAACAGTAGATTTAGAAATCCTAATTCCAAATATATGCATTAACTTTCATTTGGTCATCCCCTGACACCCTTTGTAAACTAGTAGTTTCTAAACACTAAAAAGAAGAAACAAAAACAAGTTGCCTGACTATCAAAATCTCGCATGTTCCTACTGCATCACCTTTCATCAAAAGGCCCTTAGGTCAGCAAAACATCTCACAACATGGATGAAGCTGGAGGGCATTATGCTGAGTGACATAAGTCAATCACAGAAAAATACTGTATGAGACCACTATTATAAAAACCCAAGAAAAGGTTTATCAATAGGAAAAAACAATCTTTGATGGTTGCAAGGGAGGGGAGGGGAGGGATGAGGTGGGGAAATCACTAACTAGACAGTAGATAAGTATTAACTTGGGTGAAGGGAAAGACAACACACAATATAGGGGAAGTCTGCACAACTTGACCCAGGCAAAGTCATAGAAGCTTACTAGACACATCCAAACACCTTAAGGGACTGAGTTACGGGGGCTGAGGGCTGGGGATCATGGTCTCGGGGGACATCTAGGTCAACTGGCGTAACACAGTTCACAAAGAAAATGTTCTACATTCTACTTTGGTGAGTAGCATCTGAGGTCTTAAAAGCTTCTAAGCAGCCATCTAAGATACATCTACTGGTCCCATCCCATCCGGAACAAGGGAGAATGAAGAAAATGAAAGACACAAGGAAAAAATCAGTCCAAAGGACTAATGGACCACATGTATCACAGCCCCCACCAGCCTGAGCCCAGAAGAACTAGATGGTGCCCGGCTACCATGACCCACCACTCTGACAGGTATCACAATAGAGGATTCCAGACAGGGCGGGGGGGAAAAATGTAGAGCAAAATTCAAATTCACAAAAAAAGACCAGACTTACTGGTCTGACAGAGACTGGGGGAACCCCTGAGACTATGGCCTCTGGACATCCTGCTAACTCGGAACTGAAGCCATTCCTGACATCTACCTTTCAGCCAAAGACTAGACAGGCCTATAAAACAAACAATAATACATACAAGTGAGGAACTTGCTTCTTGCATCAAAAAAAAAAAAAAAAAAAAAAAAAGACCTTACTTCCTTTGGAAGCTGGTTTTATGAACTAATAATTATACCAGTGATAAAAGGCAACATCACTGCCATCACCATACAAAGGATGTAGGCGGACTCACTTCCATTTGCAGGCCTCTTATCTGATATATACAAAAAAGGAAACTGAACGTAATGCTACTGCTTCTGCAGAATCATTTCATGATCTTCTGGTTCACCAGCAACAGAAAAAGAAATGACTCAACATAAATACATTTTAAATATCAGAGGAAGGATTTTGAAGTAGTAAAGACTGGAAAAAACTATATTCTGCTTGTTGATAAAAATTCAACAAGCTTCCATTTTCTACTTTATACACCTATCTCAGCCTAACATTTTATGTTCCTTTCAAAAGGATGGAGATAAAACTTGTATGCATTTCCTTAAAAAAAAAAGTTCACAGAATGTTCTTGGGGCCAGTCATGTAATGACTGCTTTTCCATAGCTTTATTCATTATGATCCTGAGTTTTCAAATGACTTTTTAAAAAAGTTATCTTTCCATTCAAGTTAAAAAATCTTCAATAACTAACATAAATAAGCATTGCCAACATGGGGAACAAGCTCCAGTTGAGTTGGAGGTGTTCTGCTTCTGCCTTGGCTCCCCGTACAATAGAGGTGGTGCATCCCAGCCCCATGGATAGGTATGCTGAGAGACAGCACTGCAGGAAAAAGCTCTGGTCCTGAGAAAGATCTAGATCCACTGAGAGATGTGTTAGATGGAGTTGTTGCCTACCATTGCTGGCTGGAGTATTAGCTTATCTTTGTATCCTCTCTCCCTGTTCAGTGTGGAGTTCACAACCTCCCTCTGCAACAGTAGAGGATAATTAAGTAAACTATGTCAGTAACAATGGTAATAGTGGTTACTACTGATGAACATTTACCTTATGTGAGGCACTATACTAAGCAATCATATATTATCTCATACATATATATATATATGAGCAATCATATATTTAATCCTTACAACAATACTGGAAGCTAGGTTTTATTATCTCCATTTTACCATTAAGAAAACTGAGAGCCAATAAAAGTTTGTAACTTGCTCAAGATCAAAGAGAAGTGGCTAAGATACCTTGAATATGATAGTTAAAATTCAAAAAGCAGTCAAAATTCTATCTTTTAAAGCCACTAGGCTCAGATAATTTTATGAGTGAATGTTATCAACTCTTCAAGGTACACCTAGCTCCCAAGTACATAAACTATTATGCAGCAAGGAGAAACATAAGAAAACACGGAAAAAAGAGTATAGGCCTATATTACTTATGAATATAGACACAAACATTTTAAATAAAATCAAATTTAGTAGCGAGGGTATTTAAAAAAGAATATATCATCATGACCAGGTAATGTATACCACAAGAAAGCAAGACTGGTACGGCAGAAAAAAAAAAAAATTAAGATAATTCACTGCATTAATAGATTAAAAGAAAAAAAAAAAAGATCACCTCAACAGATGTCAAAAAAGTACTCTGATACAACAATATAACACTAAGTTTTGATAAAAATCTTCAGTAAGTGAAGAACAGAAGAAAATTTTGTTAATCTGACAAAGTGACTATCAAGATATCCACAGCAAGCATCAAATTTAATGTTAAAATATACAGAGCATTTCCCCTAAAGCTAAGAATAAGATAAAGATGTCTCCTTTTATGGCTACTATAAAATAATGTCCTAGAGGTCCCAAACAATTCATTAAGACAATAAAAAGAAATAAGGAATAAACATTGGGAAAAAATATATATAAGCCTGTCACTGGTTTTGCAGGTGATATAACTGTGTATTCGAAATCCAACCAATCAACTCAAAAACTATTAAGACTAGTAAGATAGTAAAAAATAAAATAAACACACAAAAATTAATAGTTTTATTATTTAGTAGCAAAAACCAATAGGAAACATAATGGGAAAAAGGATCCTACTCATAGTGGCCACAGAAACTATAAAATACCAAGGAAGAAATCTAACAAATGGTACAGAATCTACAGGAAAAAACTATAAAGCTTTATGAAAGGATAAAAAAAATGATTAAATAGGAGAGACATACTATAGGGTCCAAAATGGGTAGTTCAATATTGCAAAGACGTTCATTCTCCCAAGTAATCCATAAATTAAACGCAATCCGAACAAAAATCCCAGCAAGATAAAAACAAACAAAATTATGGAATCCACAAGCTGATTCTAAAGTTCATATTGAAGAGACAATTCAAAAGAACAAAACTGTGGTACTGGGACAGGAATAAATAAAAATACTGATGAACAGAAGAGAAAATCCATAACTACACCCAAACATATAGAGAACTTTAATTTATGACTGTAACGTTTCCAATCAACAGGAAAAGGATTCAATAGCATTGGAAAGAGGAAAATAATTAAAATTTTATGACTACTCTTTATCAAACTACTCCAAAATAAAATCTAAATGAATTCAGGGATTAAAAATTAAAGTAGAATAAAACTATCAGAAGAAAACATTTTTACAATCTTTGGGTTAGGAAGGGATTTTCTAATTAAGGCACAGAATTGAGAAGCCATAAGTAAAAAGACTAAAGATTTGACTACCTAAATATTAAAAGCCATAAATGATACCATAAAAGTTAAAGGACAAATGACAAGCTGGGAATAAATATTTACAATGTATGTGAAAAAGATTAATATCCAGAATCTATACAAAAGTGATAGAAATCACTAAGAAAAAAACTTAATAGAAAAATTGGCCAAGACAGATAAATAAGTTCTCAGATAATTTCCCTTACCAGTAAACAAGGAAATGTAAATTAATGTGAGAGCATTTTTTTTGTGCAATAGATTGGCAAAAATTAAAAAGAGTGGTAATCTGAAAGGCAGACATGGATAAATGGGCACTTTCATACACTGCTGGTGGAAACAAATTGTATAAGTGTTTTTGGAAGGCAATCTGGCACTAGCAAGTTAAAAATGTACATACCCTCTTACCTAATTTCTAAGAAGGTATCTTTTTGATATATCTGCACATTGTGCAAAGACACAGATTGCAGCATTATCTAAAGAACCAACATTTAAAAGCTTCCTAATATGTCCATCATGGTTAAAGGAAGGAGGTTACATCCATTTTATAGACTTATTATGCAGCCATTAAAAATGAGGTACTTACACACAAGAACATAAAACATTTTATCATGTGTTAAGTGGGAAAAAAAAAGACAACAGGGAAATACCTACAGTGTGATACTATTCACATAAAAACAACTA